GGGTTAGGGTTAGGGTTAGGGTTAGGTGAGGGTGGGGGTGCGTGTTAGGGTTAGGTGATCGAGGGTGGGGTGAGGGTGAAGGGTGAGGGGTGGGTGTGAGTTTGAGGGTTAAGGATAGGGTTAGGGTTAGAGTTAGGGGAGGGTGAAGGTTAAGGTGAGGGTGGGGGTGAGGGTTCGGGTTAGGCGAGGGTTAGGGTTTGGGTTAGGATTAGGGTTTAGAGGAGTGTTAGGTGAGGGTGGGGGTGATGGTAAGGGTTAGGGTTAGGTTTAGGGTTAGGTGAGGGTGAGGGTGGGGGTGAGGGTTAGGGTTAGGTGAGGGTGGAGTGAGGGTGAGGGGTGGGTGTGAGTTTGAGGGAGGGTTAATGATAGGGTTAGGGTTAGGGGAGGGTGAGGGTGAGGGTTAGGGTTAGGTGAGGGTGAGGGTGGGGGTGATGGTGAGGTTGAGGTTGAGGGTTAGGGTTTAGGGTTAGGTGAGGGTGAGGGTGGGGGTGAGGGTGAGGATCGATAATGGGTCAGCGTAACTATTATATCATTAATTACATAGGAACTATACACATCGTACACTCATATTTTCGAGCCGTAGAATACCCCGTCCAATAAATACTACATATAATCTCTTTTTTTACTTGTCACATACGCATACAGGATCGTTAGCGGATACGAGACCATCTTGTTCGGTCCGATAACTTTTTTGTACGCGTATGTGAGAGGGGGCTTATATATAAATATTTATTGGATCTGTCCAGTTTGGACGGGTTAGGTATGTAAACATGGCGTGTATATGTATTTACTTGTGTTCTTGTGTACTTTCTTTTCGTCAGAGTTTCGGCGGCGCTTACTCGTTGTTCTCCGTGTACAAATTGCGGAGGGATATGCATGAGTATATCCTTCCCACTATAGTGTACTCGGAGAACAGCGGATAGGTGCTGCCAAAATTTTGACGAATTGAAAGTACACTTGAACACACATAAATACATATACACGTCACGTTTACATACCTAATGGGATAGAAGCCTTCCTCTGACAGCCGGTCACACATACGGTCCTCTGAACACACGTTTACATCCCTAAATTAAAATGGTATATGTCAGGATATGCTCACTTCCATTAATTTTTAAATTATAGATGCGGACAGTTTCTGACAAATCGTTCATGAGCATACCACGTGATCGAAGACATCTAGACACCCGGTACAAGGATGGGATAGAAGCTTTCTTAGCCTACTCTGACACAAACCCTCTACGGTCGCTAAGCGGGTTGATTTTCTGTCCTTGTAAGAATTGCAGGAACGGTAAAATGCTCGCTAGGAGTGACGTAAGTTTTCATCTGTCAATCAATGGATTTGATAGCTCTTATGTATTTTGGAGTCATCACGGTGAAGGTGTCCCGGTGATGCAATCAGAGGAAGAATTCACTGAAGTCAGCAATCCGACAGTTGACACGACTGATATGTTAGAAGATATTCTTACAGCGCCGTCGGTGAGTGATGTCAACACTAATGATATGTTACAAGATGTAGATCGATTGATGAGACTTGTTGAAGAAAACTGTTTGTTGGAAATTTGCAGTAAAAAGATAATGAAAGAAAATTTTGACTTGTATTCCTCTCAAAATCAATTACAATTTGGATTCCGATTACAAAAGAGAGGAGAATGAATTTGATTCTCCCCTTTGTTTAAAACTGGGTTCTTCTTGATAGCGATGGAGTGCCTCCTTCGATTGCTTGTGTCGAACTTGCTCTCCGTTGACGATCCGACCGTCTTGATTCACTGGAACGATTGACTTGTTTGATGAATTCCGTTTAGGACTCTTAACGAGTTTAATGGACTCAGAACCAGTTGAAAACTCTGAAAAGAGTTGTTGAGAACCGAATAACTGATTTGGTGTAATTACCTTGCGTTGCAAGTTTAATTACCAATTCTTAAATGAGTTTCAGAACTCAAAATGAGTTGAAACTCTGTAACAAAGTTGTTAGAACCAAAGATTCGGTTAATAGCCAAGTAAATCCGCCGTTGGTGGAGGGATTCTTCAAGATTTGATTAACTGATTGCTGATCAGTTCTTTGATCTCTTGGAAAATCGCCTTCTCTGTGCGGTTAAGCTGTTGAAGCCAGCACACGTCAACCCTCTACTCAGTTGAGTAAGTTGGTTATTTATAGGGGGATTAGGGTTGTAACCAACCCCTAAATCCGTTCCTAAGTGGGCGAAAATCCCTCAGAACGTGGGATAACGGTTTTGAGGCCGTTCGGGCTGTGTTTGAACAAGTCAAAACGCCCCAGTTGGCGTTCTGGGCCTTAACTCTACATCCAAGGCTTGGGATGCAGAGTTAAATCTCTGTTAGAGATTTGAGACGCACAGGCCGCTCATGTGTTGAATCCTCAACTCTGCGTTCTGGATTTGGGATGCAGTGTTGAGTGTTTGCCGAATGACGCACAGTTCGTGCGTTTTGTGTTTTAACTCTCCGTTGCAGAGTTGGACGTCTGTTGGAGAATGCACAGCTCGTCTGTGTTTCGAATTTGAGGAACGCAGAGGTGAGTTCTGCATTTGGGAGAGGTTGTTGACTTGTAACCTCATCCATTATAACACTGCAAAGGCTACCGCTTATTGATCTTTGCCTGTTATAGGATATGAGAGTCGTTAGATTGTAACTCTCACTGTTGATTGTAAAGGCGACTGAATAGAGTTTTCATCAGCTGTCGGAAGCGTCGTCGAATTGTAACTCTTCTCGATCTGTGTGAAAAGTCCTCTATTTGTAATCTTCATTTGTCGTCACGAAAGCTATTTGATTGTAGCTTTCGTTGTTGGAACTTGACGGGAATCAACGTCCATAGTGTTTTTAGATGAAAATTTGCCCACAGCTCTCTACCAAGCAACTCACCAACTAAGTCCAACCTTTTATTTCTGAAATCATTACACTGCTCATCAGCATCTCTCATAGTTGCTAATATAATATTAGTCATGTTGTTGTCGCAACCATCAAGATCAATCATCTCAGAAATGAGGCCGTGTTTGTAGCGATTGTAGAATTGCGAATACAATGATTAGAAAGTCGTCTGATTGTGACTTTCATTGTCAGAGCTTGATAGGGATCAGCTATCCATCGTGATTTTTTAGACAGCCCACAGAACCCCCTCCAAAGTTTTCGAAAGTTCGCGGTTGACTGGGACGAATTTTCGGAATACTTTGGATCCCACAATTGTGTGAATTGATTGCTCACTCCGTCTGATCGAGCCAGATGATTCTAATGTTGCTAACTGTAATCTATCTGTGCTTCTCCAATAGTCTCCCTAACAGAGTCGCCTGTTTCTCCTCGATCTTCACCCACTGTTCTTGCACCAGGGTCTATGATTTTAGGCTCCCCATCGACATCTCCGATGAAGTCTCTAAGTCCAGTAGCCATCCCTTCCATTCTAAAAGTTCTTATACGACCGTTAGAAGATATGAAGAAGATAGCGATTGAGGAGATCAGTGCTGGACGAGCTTCATTTGATATTTTCAAACCAATCCTCATGAACTATTTGAACAGCATTCGATACGTGGATGACGCTCGATTGTTCCAGCATTGCTCCGAAGGCATCTCTCGGTTGGAAAAAGATCTGAGGGCTTTGGAAGAATTGCATCGAGCTGATCTTGCTGCCTAGGCTGCGTTAGTCTTTAATAATCTTCGAGCTGAAGCGGTCTGCCAATACGATACTTTTCAAGAAGCCATCACTGAAAGAGAGCTTGAAATTGAATCCTTACAGGGGCAATGCATGCAAAGGCAACATGCTGTGGACGCTTCTGGTGCTGCCATACAAGCGTCTCGCGCAGAAATTGATCGCCTGAAGGTGGAGTTGTCTCGACACGAGGCAGAGCTCGCGCGAGAGGAAGAGATCTTGAAAAAGCTCACACTGGAAAGCGTGAAGACTTATGCCGCTTACCGTTCGTCGGTGAAGGACCTTGAACTTCTCCAAAAGCAAGTTAATGCAATTGAGCCGGACGAAAGCGCCCTTAGGAAGAAAGCCGAGGTGATGGTGCAGGCTGCTCACGAAGAAAGGCTCTCTACTATTAAATCTCGGCTAGCGTATTTGTTCTTTTTGTTCTTTTTGTTCGATAAGAACAGGGTTCTTGTATCACTCCTTAATATTTCTGAGCAAAAATAAAAAGAGTGATTCTGGTTTATCTCTATTTATTGCATGTGTCGTGTTCTGACTTGCAACAATGAAGCTATATGGAAAGCGCCCAACT